CGAAGGAGTGTGGGGGGGGGGGGGGGGGGGGGGGGTGTCCTGCCTCCACATCTGCTGTCCTGATTTGGGAGTCTGATGTGTGACTGGACTGCTCCTAATCAACAGGCGGACCACTGTTTTATGCAGATAGACAACTTCTTTCCTTGCATTCACCTTTCCTCTTATCAATTCCTCTGCACACACACACACACACACACACACACACACACACACACACACACACACACACACACACACACATTCGAAATCCTTTATACGTATTTGATTTTTAAAGTGATAGTTCACCCATTCTGTCATCATTTATTCACCATCTTGCCTATACAGTATGACTGACTTTCTTCTGTGGAACACAAAAATGAAATTTTGAAGAAAATTCAGGGCATTCATGAATATTATGAAAGAGGAACTCAAAATGACAAAATAAGCACCATAAAAACTGTAGTGATTGCTTTGTGTAAAGAACAGATTATAATTTACATCATTATTCACTGAAAATATAGACATTGTCTCTAGTTCTCCTATAAAATAAAATAAAATAATAAAAACTGAATAAAATAAAAATAAAACTGTTGACACTGATAGCCTCGTGGGCAGCGCACCAACATATAGTGCTGTTGTGCTTCGGGCATCCCGAGTTCAAGTCCTGGTTTATGGACCTTTCCCGATCCCGTCCCTGTCTCTATCTCCCACTTCTCTTCCTGTCATCATACTGTCCTATCACGATAAAAGCAAAAATGCCAAAAATTAATCTTTAAAAAATAAATAAATAAAATTAATCAAAACATTGGAGACCATGCATGACGTAACTAACCATATCTAATTTATGAATGGATCTTTTTAAATAAAAAAAAAGTCAAATCTTTGAAATTATTCACTTTCAGGAATAGCTGGTCTACATGATTAATTCATGTATCAATTTAATCTGGCTATTAATGTGGTTAATCAATCTCGATTACTCAATGACTGATACTTAACAGCTCACAAAACGAGAAGATTAGCCATGAAGAACTTATTTGAATTCATGTACTACTTTAAATACAAAATGGTGCCTCTACTACAGTTAAGACATGTCAGCACCATTATTCTATATTATTTTAAAGAAAGAAAGAAAGAGAAGGTTAGACATACAGATGGAACGAGGCAGAAGTAGAAAGGGAGAGGTCAAAGGGGTGCTGGTTAGTGAGTATACTTCAGTTCTGTTACAGTTGGATGAAAGATGACAGGTGATGATTTAATACTGCTCTTACAATCGAAGGGTCTGGCTGCAAGCAGGGTGACCTTAAGACTGCCTGTCCAAAAAAGAACAGTAGGCAGAACCGATCATTTCATTATTGTGCCATCACTGTGCAAACGCAGGGAGAACTTTGCCAACATAATATAGATAAAAATTATTCCCATACCATCAGCACATAATTAATCTATCAGTAAATCCCAAAAGCAAGCCAAAAATATAACAAGATTTGTTAAAGGGGTCATATGATGTGATTTAAATTTTTCCTTTCTCTTTGGAGTGTTACAAGCTCTTAGTGCATAAAGAAGATCTGTAAAGTTGCAAAGACTAAAGTCTCAAATCCAAAGAGATATTCTTTATAAAATAACCTACCTAAAACGGCTCATTCTAACACGCCCCCACATGTCTACGTCACGATGTGGGAAGATTTGCATAACGCCGGCCAAATGTTCACGCAAAGAAAGAAGGCGTAACTTTTATTCTCGCTGTAGTTTTGTTGCTGCCGCCATGTCGTGAAGACGCTGTGTGTTTTGTTGTGAAAGCGAAACTACTTTGTTTGGCCTTCCAAGAGAGGACACGACTAGAAATCAGTGGTTAAGTTGTATTTACAACACTGTTCCAGAACACTTCAACCCAAATATTCAGATGTGTGCAGCACATTTTATGGAGGACTGTTTCCTGATCCTGCTAGAGTAGACTACAATGCCGGCTGTTCCGACTCACAGACTGTAAGTTGATGCATCAAATGCCTCGTTTATAATGGGTTTGAATGTTTTTGTCTCATCGCTCTGGCCGGGACACAGCATCACAATATGATAAGGGGCGTAACATTTCAGTCACATGCTTGAGGTATTCGGCCAATCACAACACACTGGATAGCTGGCCAATCAGAGCACATCTCGCTTTTCAGACCGATGAGCTTTGTAAAAATCGACGCGTTTCATAGAGGAGAAACAATAATGTACAGTATGTGGAAAATAATGTGTTTTTTTAACCTTAAACCGCATAAACACATTTCATTACACAAAATACACAAAATAATGTTCTTTTTAGCAACATCATATGACCCCTTTAATATTTTGTTGCCTGTAATCAGAGACAATGTCTTTAATCTAATTATTTGAGATCCTTCTGCCCATTCATACTGATCAATCAGAGAACAGCTGAAGAGGAAAAACTGGGCACAGAGAAGGCGAGCCTGAATTAATTGCTCCGATGTTCAATAGAAGTGAAAGGAAGTGAATAGAGGTGCATCGGCGGGGTGTGGGCTGTGTCGGCACACTATGGCCCTCTCTCTACAGGTAGCGACGGCTGACTGTGTGGTTGCCAGGTTACAGACAGAGCAGGGCGTCAAAGAAGTAAATAAAAGTGCAGAGGGACACACTCGCATAAACCTGCACACACACATACAGTGAAAAGACACATCTTACTCCCCTCAAACACAGCAGAACACGCAGGGATTTGACTGTTGTTTCCAGCTGTGAGGGGGGCACCAGAGAGCATAAAGCATCAGAAACCACAGATGACTAACAGTTACATAATGCTAAATCACATTTGACTGACTTTGGAAGTAAAGATAAAGATAAACTTTGGTTCATATACTTGAACCTTTTCAATCAGGTTTCACTACCCACCACAGTACTGAAACAGCTTTGTTAAAAGTGATGAATGATTTGCTACTGTCGGTTGATTCTGGTGATAATGCAGTTTTGGTTTTATTGGATCTTAGTGCTGGCTTTGATACAGTTGATCATAATATCCTTCTGTCACGCCTTGAACATTGGGTGGGCATAAAGGGTACAGCACTTAGCTGGTTTGAGTCGTATCTGAAATCCAGGTCATTTTCAGTGTCTGTTGGCTAGTTTATCTCATCATCTGCCTCTCTTCTCTATGGGGTCCCTCAGGGGTCCATTTTGGGTCCATTACTCTTTAATCTGTATATGCATCCACTTGGTAATATCATAAGGAAATATAAAATCTCTATTCATTTTTATGCAGATGATTCTCAGCTGTATCTTCCACTAAAATCTCGAGATTCTCTGCAGTCTCTCATCGAATTCAGTTTAAGATTTTACTTATTGTTTTCAAAGCTCTTAATGGACAAGCCCCATCTTATATTTCTGATCTTATTTATTTGCATTCAA